AAGGGGAGGAATCCAGATACAGCAGTGTTTACCCTTTTTCAGCACTTAATGATTTTCAGCATTAAAGTCTTGTGAAATGTTTCTCTTCCAGTGGAGTGATATCAAAACTGTCTTCTCAAAAGATTCAAATATCTGCCTTTGAATGAATGTAACATGATAATTGGAGAAAGGATACTGCATCGTGTCCCTCCCTCCCATACCTTCTAAAGTATATGCGTAAGCAAATGCTTCAATTATTTCAAAACCAAAATGTATGACCATAACTTTTTCCCTCAGTAATATAGACTGAGTCATTTGACAATAAAACCATTTTACTGATGCTTATGCTTTTAGTATCATTAACAAAGTATAATGATGGTATGCTGGATAGCTTTAGTTGTCAACTTGACACATCTGGGAAGAGAGAGACCCTCAACTGGGGAATTACTTCTATTGAACTGGCCTGTGGTCACATCTGTGGGACATTTTCATGATTGTTGAGTGATGTGGGAGGGCCCAGACCACTGTGGGCAGTGCTACCCCTGGGCGGGGTGATCCTGGGTTGTTTAAGAAAGCAGGCTGCACGGCCCAGAGAAACAAGCCCGTAGTGTTCCTCCATAGTCTGTACTTCAGTTCCTGCCCTGAGCTCCTGCCCTGGTTTCCTTCCATGATGAACTGTAAAAGTAAGATGAAATAACCCCTTTCCTCCAGAAGTTGGTTTTGGTCAGTGTTTTTATCACAGCAGTAGAAAATAACTAAGGCAGATGGTGAGCTAATTCAATAGTGTATTTGGTAATGCCAAAAACACTTAAAATTTTAAATATTAAAAGAGAGACGAATAAATGAATCTATTCTTGAAATTGTCAAGTCTCAGTATGGTGATTAGGTGAGTTGCCATAAGTCTAAGCACTGAAGAGGTAGAAGCAGGAAAGAATTCCTGACCAACCTAAGCTACATAATGAGATGGGAGAGGGAGGATTAAATTTATCATTAAGACTTCTTTTAAAATGTGAAAAGAAAGAAAACTATTTATTTACTTTGGTGAACCACTGAGTTTTTACTGAGGTTCCTTACAGGAGTATGGGTAAAGGGTTACATAGGATGACTCAAAGCAGCTGCATCACAAAAAGGCCCGCCCAAAACCTGTGGTAATTCGTGAAAGCTGCAACCCTAAGGCTCTCTTAACTTGCAGAAAACTCCACAGGTCTGAGAATTACCTCTCAGAAGCTTGGCTAGTCAAGAGTCCAGTTTTCCCTACCAGGTGTTTGCTGCATCTATTCGCCCTAAGAAGGGGACCTTGTGAATACTGCAGGTTTCAGCTTTCCCAAATATATTGTGTTTTTTTTTTTAAACCTCGTCAGTTTCATGAGTCTCCTCCTTCCCTCAAGAAAAGAAGTAGACCTTAGTGATAAATCCCGAATGCAAGGACAAACTACCCAAATGCTGCCTCAAGCTGTGTTTTGTTTAAAACACAGAATCCTGGGCTGAGGAGATGGCTCAGTTGATAAAGTGCTTGACTTGCAAGCATAAGGACCTGAATTTGATTCTCTAGAACCCACTTAGAATCTGGGTGTGGTAGACCATACCTGTAATCCTAGTGTTAGGGAGCTGGAGATTGTGCCTGGGCTAGCCTGGCAGTTACCTAGCTTACTTGGCAAGCTCCAGGCCAGTGAGAGACCCTATTTCCAAAAAGGGTGGACAGGGCCAGAAAGGTGGTTAAGTGAAAAGCATATGCATAAGAAGCCTGACAAACTCAGTTTCATCCCTGGAACCCACATAAAGGCTGAAGGAGAACCAACTCCCTAAAGTTGTCCTCTGGCCTCCACACACGTGCCATAGCATGCACACCCACACAACAGTAAAAATAAATTTTAAAATATTTTTATGTAAAGGCTTTTAAAAAGGGGGGAAGGAGAGGCTGGAGAAATGGCTCAGTGGTTAAGAGCACTGACTGCTCTTGCAGAAGACCTGGGTTTGATTCCCAGCACCCACATGGCAGCTAACAACAGTCTGTGTCCCAGGAGATCCAACACCCTCTTCTGACCTCTGAGGACTTTGCGCAATATGGGTGCACTTACATACATGCAGGCAATCACAAACATCCTCTTGTATCTGCCTCCTGAGTGCTGGGATCAAATGCATTCACCACCACACCCAGCTGCAACTCATTCTTAACATTCTCTGTTGCTCATCAACCAGAGAATTTGTGATGGTTCTATACTGTTCTTTTTAAGCTCTTTTCTGTTGTTTTTTGCAATGCTAGGAATCTAGCAAGCCTTGTGCAAATAGGAAGCAGCTCTCCCACTAGGCTGCCTGATATGGGTGCTAGCATTCAAACACAGATGTCACGCTTGTTCTGCAAGTACCCTTCCTTACCCACTGAGTCATCTCTCCAGACCAGGAATATTTTCTCTAAAATATTTTCTTTAAGGCTGGGTCTCTAACAGAATTAAAGATTTAGGTATATTAAAGCATTCAAATTTTGAGTAGTGATAAATTTAATCACCAGTTTAAAAATAAAGGCAGCATAATTGGAGGTTATAATGTATCAAAGAAAGAATTAAATTATAACTTCTAAATTACTTTTAAACTCTGATTCAAATGAATTCAAGATTTAGCTTTTAATTTAAATCTTACTACTTCAAATAAATTTGAAAATGTTTTTAACTCTGTAATATTAAATTAATTAGTATAGACACAATGGTATAGTACACATACATTAAAAATTATATTTAAAAGTTCACAGGAAAAAATGTTAGGTAAAAACAGTCACAGCATAACTTCTATAATATTCCACTCACAAAAATAGCTTACTCTTCCAGACAGCTGATCAGTTACTCATATGAACTCACAGCAATGGTGACAGCACGCACAATTCCTATGCAAGCTCAAACCAGACAAAATCCCAGCTTAGACATGGGGAAGTGGGTAAGAAATCCCAACCCAACCTAAGGCACTTTTGGCAATTGATGACTGCTGAATGGGTAAAAAACAGTGTCTTACAGGATAGAACTTTTGATTTCTTATCTGTTTGTATTATGACCAAAAAAAGAAAAGATCTTCATTCCTAGAAAAGCAAGTTTACAGCATACAAAGCACAGTATAACTACAGATCTTCAAGGAACCAAAACAGTAGCTTCTGGAGACACAGCTCAGTGGTAGAGCACTTGCCTAGCATGGATGAGGCCTTGGGTTCAGTACTGCAAAGCAGCCGATTTGACTACCTGCACTGAGTATGAGTAACAGAATGGTAAGACCATCAACAAACTTCTTAAATTATATTTCATCAGAGACACGGATCATGTATAATTCCTTTCTAGCATGATTCAAGAACACTGAAAAACTTAAGACACATTAGTTATCTTTTATAAATTTTACTAGCCAAAAAATAAAGTATAGGGGCCACAGAGATGACTCAGCAGTTAAGAGTCTGTACTACTCTTGCAAAGGACCCAACTTTAGTTTCCAGCTCCCATGCCGGGTGCTCACAACTTCCTCTAACTCCAGCCCCAGGAGATACAACACCTCTGGCCTCTGTAGGCATCTGCACTCATGTGAACATATCTACACACAGACACACATATAATTTAAAATTAAATTAGAACTTTAAAAAAAAAAGCACAATACCAGCAATGAGACAGATACATTAAAATTCTCTAAGAATATAAAGGAAGGAATATAATATCTAGGAATATTAAGGAAGCATGTAATTCAAGTTCCCAGGTTTAAAACGTTCTAAAAATCTGGGAAGTAAGGTGTTTTGGTTTGGTTTTTTGAGACAAGTCTCCCTAGGTAGCCAGGCCTCTAGAACTCATTATGTAGCTAAGGCTGGCCTCGAACTCCTGTTCTTCTAAATGCTGGGATTACAGGTGTGTGTTTCCACACCTGGCTATTAACTTTTTTTTTAATATTTTATTTATTATTTTAACTTTATGCATATGAGTGCCTGGCCTGCATGTATGTGAGTGCACCCATGTCGTGCAATGCCACGGAGGTCAGAAGAGAGCTTCGGATTCCCCTGGAACTGGAGTTAAGGACGGTTTGTAGCCGCCATGTGGGTGCTGGGAATTGAACCCGGGTCCTCTGCAAGAGCAGTCAGTGCTCTTAACCACTGAACCATCTCTCCAGCCCCGCTATTAACTTTTTATCTGTCCTATCTAGATATTCAAAGTTGATTTGCTTTGTGCATAAAAGTTTTATCATTTTGGGGGGACTGTGTTTTTTGACATTTATTATGATAAATCTTAATGGTACGCCTCACAGTTAAGATACATAGTCAAAATAATCATGGTAGTAAATATTCGGATAAGGACAAAATTATACTCTCACAAGAACGGTTTTTTAAAAGAAAATGTAAGCTGAAAGAAAATACAGGAAGGGAGAGAAGCCAGGGGACAAAAACAAACAAGAATAGGAGCAAAGCAGGCATAGGGATTAGACTTCAAACTAGCATTTGGGAAGTGGAGGCAGGAAGATCAGGAGTTCAAGGTAATCTTTGGCTACATAGCAAGATTGAGGTTCTGAGGTACATGAGACCATGTCTCAAAAACAAGAAAACAACTAAAAAAAAAGAAAATGAAATGAATAAGGAGAAGGCAAGCACGGCAACAGACTAAGGAAAAACTTAGGGAACAGGACCAAATCTGGAAAAGGCTAAGAAGGTAGACACAAAATAGTAAAATAAATTTTTTTTTAAATGAGCAAGATGAGAAAAATCTAGAACACAAAGAAAAAAGAATGGTTCATTCCATTTACACACATGGATTCAGCTCATAGAGATAGGGTCTATCTAGAGAGATGGCTCACTGGTTAAAGCACTTGCTGCTCTTCAGGAGGACCTGAGTTCAGTTCCCAGCACCCACCTCCAGTGACTCGAGTTCCAAAGGATCTGACTCCCTCTTCTGTCTTCCAGGGGGAGCACGCACACACACACACACACACACACACACGGCAAACACACAGACATACATATAAATAGTATATAATATTTTTTAAAAGATAAATGTACAAATGAAACTAACCTGGTTTTCTTCCTGTACAACTCTATACTGCTCCTTCCAAATGGTGATTTTGGAAGCTTCATCTTTTCTCAAGGCCCGCTCTTTCTTCAGCTCTGGGCTCCAGAAGGTCTTGATGCTATTCATTGAAGAACTCAATTTACTCTCCTTTACTTCCACATCTTTCCGCAAGAGATCATTTTCTCTTAATACTTCCTTCAGCTGTGTCTGTAGATCCATGATGGTGTTATCTCTTGCCTGACGCAGAGAGTGAGGCACAGTGGATGCCATACTAACAGGAGGGAGGTGATGCTCTCCAAACGCTATGGTATCACTAGCAACCCCACTGCTTGCTATATTGGGGCTACTGCCCATAGCAGTCATCCTAACCCCATAAGGCAGACGTCCCCCAGAACGGCCAAGTGTCATGGTGCTTTTAGGGGTTTCTGAACCCACATTTTCATGATCACTTAGGTACATAGGGCCAGATGTAGCATAGGCGGCATTTAAGGACTGTATATTCTCCATTGATAAGGTTTTTCCACTACCACCTCCAACACTGCTTCCAGAACTCCCTCCTGTACTGTTGGTTCGACGATGACCTAAGCGAGGTGACCGTGGAAGCCGAGGTGAACGCCCAGGGCTCTGGTTGCTTGGTTCCACCTTCCCTACTGATCGAGCACTTCCATACATGGTTGCAGGGTGAACTTAGGTGCCAAAAAAGGTGTAAAGCGCACACACACAAAAACAATTGCAATTCCGTGACGTTTCTCTACGGCTATAAAGTCAACTTAAGGCTATCAGAAATAACAGGTCACCAGCTGTCCAATCTTGAAGAAATATCTTACACCACATCTGTAATGAAAAGATCACACATTAAATCCCCCAATAATAAATATTTTCATTCTCAGAAATGCTCTATTACCTTTACCTGGGGAAGCTCCTCCTTTCATCATCTATTAGCATGGCTTTAAAATGTGATTAAACACAATGTATCAACTGATAATTATCAAGTGATACATTATCAGAACTAATAACAATTCAACATATGTCAGCCATAGTATCAATATGTAAATAATGTACAGGGTGCTGGACAGATGGCTCACAGTTAAGAGCACTGGCTGCTCTTGCAGAGGACCTGGGTTCAGTTCCCAGCATCCACATGGCAGCTAACAACCCTCCACTCCATAACGCCAGTTCCAAGGGATCTGATGCCCTCTCCTGACCTCCATAGGTATTGCATGATACAGATGCCCTTACATACATGCAGGCATAACACTCATAAAATAAAATTAAATAAATAAATAAATAAACTTAAAGTTAAAAAGAATAAATGAATATATAAATATCAACACTTTCATAAGCACTGAGAACAACTAGAAAATGTAGCTTTTTAGGCTGGAAACATGGCTCAATGGGTAAAGTACTTGTCATGCTGGACACAGCAACCTGCATTTGTAATCCCAATGATCCTAGGGTGAGATGGAAGGTAGAGACAGGAGAAGCTACTGAGAGGCAGAAGCAAGGGGCTGCCAGGAAAATTTTTGTACACTTTAACTTCACTTATAGCTCTTTATTTTCAATTATATGTATATGTGTGTGTCTATGTGTGCATGTCAATGCAGGTGTTCTTGGAGTTAAGAGTGTGTCACAATCCCTGAAGCTAGAGTTACAGGTAGGTGTGAGCTGCCCAACATGGGTGCTAGGACTCAAACTTGGATCCTCTGTAACAGCAGTACCTACTCCTTAACTGCTGAGTCATCTCTCCAGCCCCCATTTAGAAAGTTTTGGATTCAACCTACCATAAAGCTTACACTTTATGAGCAGGGGAGTACAATGTGTGTATGAGTGTTCATGTGTGTCAAGGTGGGCATGCACATACATAGCACGATCTGCATGTGGCGATCAGAAGACAAACTCAGGTGCTCATCTTCACCCTCCATCTTGTTTGAGACAGGATCTTTTTGTTAGTTTTTCTGCTTCATATGCCTGGCTAGCTGTCCAGGGAGCTTCTGAGGATTCTCCAGTCTCTACTTCCCATCTCCCCATAGAAGCACCAAATTACAGCACTACAGATTACTAGCACTACACACCCAGCTTTCATGGGTTCTGAGGGTTTAAACTCTTGTACAGCAAGTGCTTTTATACTTTGAGTTCTCTCCAGCGCTGGCTTATACTTTTTTTAATGTATTTATTAGGGAACAGAATACGTGTGTATCATGGTACACATGTGGAGGTCAGAGGCCAACTTGCCTGAGCCAATTCTCTCCTCCTACCATGTGGATTCTAGGGATCAAACTCGGGCTTGGCAGCAAATGTCTTTACCACTGAGTCATCTTGCCGTAGACAGTCTTGGAGCTCCTGGCTGCCTCCACCTCCTTTTTTTTTGTCATTTTTGAGGCAGGGTCTCCCTGGCCTGGAACTCACTATGCAAACCAGGCTGGCCTTGAACTCACAGAGATCTGCCTGCCTCTGGCTTCCCAAGTGCTGGAACTACAGGTGTGCGCCACCATACCCAGCTGCTTATACTTTTTTTAAAAAATGAAAAATATATTCTTAGTCTACAAATATAAATTTTAAAAACACGTACTACAGCTATCTATTTCCACACTTTTCTCAAAGAGAACTCAATATACTAAGAGTCCCAAACTTAATGGATATACTTAGGGTTTCATTTGCTTTTCTTCTTTTTCCTTTTTTTGTAAGTGTGTTGGATAGCTTTGGTTGTCAACTTGACACACCTGGGTAGAGGGAGCCTCAGTTGGAGAACTGCCTCCATTGGACTGGCCTGTGCCCAAGTCTGTGGGGCATTTCCTTGATTACTGAGTGATGTGGGAGAGCCCAGCCCACTGTGGGAGGTGCCACCCTGTGCAGGTGGTCCTGTGTTAAGAAAACACACTTAGGTGTGGCGCATGCCTTTAATCCCAGCACTCGGGAGGCAGATGCAGGCAGATCCCTA